GAAGGGGAGATAAGGACGATAGATGTTTGATAGGAAAGAAGAAGCAAACCACACCAAGAGCACCCGCCAACCACCCACCAAAAAAAAAATTTTTTTTTTAAACTTCCTTCTAATACTGCCACTGCAAAGCGCCGGGCTGCAAATGCAGAAAGCATACCAAACACGTTCTCAAAGCCACAATACTCTTTTAAAGGACTTTGCAATAAACAAGGATAACTTACAGAGGCAAATATTTTGCTGATGGCTGCCTCAATCTGAAATTCTGCTGAGCCTTGGTCCATGTTGGCAGAGATCATGTAGGCCATCGACTGTCAGGGGAAATTGAAGAATGAAATATGAGGACAAACCATTCTGTAATATTTTTTCCTAAGATACCTGCCTTCAAATGCAAATAAAGGTTGTGCCAATGTAGCAAACTACGAGATAAATACACAACATGATACATTGTTGAACCACAATCTGAAATAAACAGATTGCACTGTTGAACCAAACTTTGAAATAAACCAATTGCTGAACCAAATTATGAAATTAACAGATTGCTAAATCAAACAATAGAATAAACAGATTGCTGAACCAAACTTTGAAATAACAGATTGCATGGTTGAACCTCAAAAACCCTTGTAGGTCCAAATGTTCACAACACACACCATAAGCGTTCACTTTGTGCCATGTTCACATTAACGACTGCCTTTCTGTGTACTGTATGACCAGGTGAGGCAGCACAGAAAGAAGCCACCATGGGACAATCACTGATAACAAAAAGAGGTAGAGGCAAATCGTCGGACAGCAGTTAAAATGTCCTACACCTACAATTTGGAGAAGAAAAAATATATAACACTATATTAATCAATCATATCAGATGCATGTGCTCAAGAAATATTTTGTAGAAATTCAAATTTTAAACATAAAAAAGCAACCCCCCCCCCAAAAAAAAACCCCCCCTCATATTTAGGTATAATGGACAAAAGAACAAAACAGTTTTTTTCTCTCCAGAGAAATTTTGCTTTTGGGGCTTAGTACATTTTAGCAGCTTGCTGATGAAATGCAGTTGAGTCCTTAGACACTTGAGTCGACATAAAGTCTTTGATTACTGTATTCTCACTAGAAAAATGGAAGAAAGAGGCAGAGGTAAACCAAAAATAAACATCTCAGAGACATCTAGACTCTAGATATTATTCTCTGCCACTCTTCTCTAGATTCTAGGTGGCCTTCCCCTTAATCTTTTACCGAGGGGATCCCAATCCAACACTTTCTTTGTTACTACATAGCTGCCTAGCTTCCTGAGAGTAGGTTCGATCCATCACCACCACCTTCTTCCCACTTCCATCTTCAGCTGGGCTCTGTCTTGTGCTCCTTAAAACTTCCTCGTTGGTGACCCCGTCTGTCCTTCTGATCCTGAATAACTTTCTCAGACATTTGTGAGGCAGCGTGGTGGAATCAGGCTCTCGTCAATTTTTGGGCATGTAGAGTTATTGGTATCATCCTATAGCTTGTTCACTTGTCTTTATTTGGATGAAAAAAATATCGATTTACCTTAAATACAAGTCGAGATATTTGCGAATGAAGGAGGGGGGGTTACCTGTTTTCAGAGGTAAAATTAGTCAGAAAATTGCCGCCAAAGATTAGTTATTTCCTTAGCTTAACAGTCCGTGGTAACAGAAAATTTACATTTTTGTGCTTTTAATCAACGTGTTTCAGTAAAATCCACACAGAAATGAGTTCTTTAATGGACATGAAAGGTGTTGAACCAAAAAAACAAAAATTTGATAAAAACTCACAAACCTGCGGAAAAATGCAAGTTTCTTCACTTTGATAATTTTGACGAGAGCCTGATTCCACCACACTGCCTCACATTTGTCTTTAAAAAATGACAACACTTACACATTTCACTCAAACATTTCCTCTTCCATCTCCTCTCCTCCCCTATTCCCCCCCCCCCCCTCCCTCCTCCTGCCCCCCTATTCCCCCCTCTCAGATGCCCCCGTCCTCACCTCTGTGACATACTGCAGGACTGTCATTCGTGCAATTTTCTCCTGGATGGCTCCGTAGGTTTCAATCTTTCTTCCAAACTGGGTTCTGTTTGCTGCGTGCTCCACCTATAGGATGTGAGGACAAAAGCAGCAAACAAACAATCAACAGGTCACAGGAGTAAATCAAGAATGAAAGGAGAGGACGACAGAGGAGGAGTAAATAAATATGTAGTGAAGTCTTATTTAGAGAGATCTCAGCATCTGCTATCGTCTTCTGTTTTACCTTTTCTTTTCCAACCATACAGCACTTTTTTTTTTCGTTTTCTACTTTCTTTTTTTTTTTTTTTAATTAAATTGTATAAGAGCCTTTCCTGTTATGGGCAAAGTGAGAACAGCCCTGGGCCTTACACGTGTAGGAGGATGGCTGAGAAGAAAGACTGGCTGAGGTGATGATGAGTGAGACACAGAATTTATTACTGCAGGCTGAGATAACTACAAGCACATCCAAACAAAGTAATGCCTCTCCCACCCCCTTTTCACAAACTAGCCTTTTTTTTTCTTGTAGAAAATGATTCCAAATGTTACACAGAGAAATATTATGTCCGCACAATTTGTTCTTAAAAAAAAAGAAAAAGAAATAGCTGAAAAAATAGTAGAGAGATAACTTGAATAACATTGTCAATGGTATTTTCTCAAGTTCCTTCAATAATCTCTCTGTTAGAATGAACAAAATACCCAGCACTATAGTAAGTAGACAAATACCACGCACAATGAGTAATCATATGTGAGGCAGCGTGGTGGAATCAGGCTCTCGTCAAAATAATGAAATCGAAGAAAACAGCAGTTTTTTCCCTGCTTAGAAATTTTTATCAATTTTTTGTTTTTAGGTTCAACACCTTTTATGTACATTTATAAACACATTCCTTTGAGGATGTCACCGAAAACGCTGATTAAAGGCTCAAAAATATAAATTTACAATTTCCATGGACTCTCCAGGTTTGGAATTTACAAAGCTTTGGCAACCATTTTGTTGCTAATTTTACCTCCTAAACGGGTGACCCCATCTCCTTCCATCCAAAAGATCTCCACTTCTATTGAAGATGGATGGGTAATTTTTTCATTGAAAGCAAGACAAATGAACAAGCTTTCAGATGATACCAATAACTCAATATGCCTAAAAATTGACGAGAGCCTGATTCCACCACGCTGCCTCACATATTCCGAAACACTCAACTGATGCACAATCTGGGACGTTTCTATAACATTAACTTACTGCCGAGAGAATTCCCATAAAAATCCGGAGCTTATACAAGACGAGTTGAAATACCAAGGCGAGTACGGGTTCTTTGTTATGGAATTTCCGCAGCCCTACGCTATTGAACTTTTTTACAGATGGAGTTGATAATGATGGGGGATGAAGTACGGAACTGTCAGAAAGTACTAATGTACTATCACCTCTTGTTCACAACTCCATTTTATGAAGTAGATAAAACTCCATTTTCTCGTCCTCTGAACGGGGGCCATATTGGACAATTTAGACTGCAACCAATACTTTTTAACTTCAAAGCAAAACACTTCACCAACAAAGATTTCTCTTAAACAACTTACAGCCTTGCTAATGCAGTAGCGCTGAGTCCCGGCTAGACAGGCAGCCATGCCAAATCTTCCATTGTTCAGAATGTTCATTGCCACTTTGAAACCACCACCAATACCTGAAGACAAACAAAATATTTTAATAATTTAACCAGAAAGCATTTATAGATAAACAGAAATATTTCCATCACTAATGAGTTTGAGTAAAGAGAGGTACATAGACAGAAGAATGGTTACTAAGAGCAGTGTAATTGAAAGACACACTGACACACACACAGAAACAGCAAAAGAAAAGGAAAGGAAAGAAGTCAAATTTATCAGCAACACCTTTCACCCACCCACTCCTTTCTCTAAATTTATAATAAAACGTTGAAGTTTCCGTATTATCTCATGGTTATCAATGAGGTCTTACATTTAAAAATGTGTTTATACTAATAATACAATAATAAGAACCAGTGCTTTACCTCTGTGATAAAACAAAGACTTACCAGTAACAACGAAATGTTTCCAATCAAATATCATGCATTGGATAGGTAAAAAAATATTTATATCTTTGCCTCCAAGTTGGGTTGGTGGGTGGGAGGGTAGTAAGGAAGAAGAAGAAAAGTAGGGCCTTCCAGCAACATTATAACATCATCCAACTTGAGGGGGGGGGGCAGGGTATTAAAATATATTTTGCAAAAGACTACACCAAAGCATGGAGAACTCACCACCAAGAACATTCTCTTTGGGAATCTTCACGTCCTCAAAGTACACCTCAGCAGTGTTGGACGCCTTGATGCCCATCTTCTTCTCTGGAGGACCACTGAAAAGATTAAAGAAACATCTCCGTTCCGACACCGTTCTCAACATTATTGTGATCATCATCTTCATCACAATCATTTCCATACAACTTTCCTGCTGTGGTCATCATCTTCATCACCATCATTTCCATACAATTTTCCCGCCTCATGAGTGGGGGCTACCGTGATAACACATTTTCCTCCTCAATTTACAAATATCTGGCACCAAATAAATCACAACATGGTGTGTCTATGTGTGTGTGTGTGGGGGGGGGGGGAGCAAAACTAACAAACTTAGGTCCCCTTGCCCACCTCCTCCTCCATAAAACTCAATCTCCCACAGTCAGCTGTTTTGGGTTATCAGTCAAAAACCTCAAATTTCTCAAAACAGTGAGTTTCGGAATCTGAACTTCAAGCGATGATAACTTTGGAACCAAACTGTTTCCATCCACTTGTAGGGCTTGAACATATTTTTTGGTGAAACGCGTATTGTTATACTGTCAAAATATGACACGTGACTATTCTGTCATGTTGTAACACATATGTGAGGCAGCGCGGTGGAATCAGGCTCTTGTCAAAATAATCAAAATTAAGAAACTTGCACTTTTCCGCAGGTTTGTGAATTATTATCAAATTTTTGTTTTTTTAGCTCAACACCTTTCATGCCCGTTAAAGAACTCATTTCTCTGTGGATTTTTCTTAAAAACGTTGATTAAAGGCACAAAAAATGTCAATTTTCAGTTACCACAGACTCTTAAGCTAAGGAAATAACCAATCTTTGGCGGCCATTTTCTCACTAATTTTACCTCTGAAAACAGGTGACCCCACGTCCTTCATTCGCAAATATCTCGACTTGTACTCAAGATAAATGGAGGATATTTTTTTCATTGAAATAAAGACAAGTGAACAAGCTTTAAGATAATACCAATAACTCTACTTGCCCAAAAATTGACGAGAGCCTGATTCCACCACGCTGCCTCACATATAGACATGCAGGAATTTGAAAAATCAGCCAGGGGGGAGGAGACTATCTCAACTTAACCAGTATGTGTCAAAGACCATGTAAACATTTCCAGAACTCACTTTGAGACTCCTCCAAAGCTTCTCTCCACTATAAATGCTGTCACTTTGTCCTTGCTGACCCCCGTCTTTGGGTCTGTGACTTCACACTGGAGAATACACACAAGGAAAAACGTGTTTGTTAGAGGGAAGAGACAGGCACAGCGAATACACACAAGGAAAAACGTGTTTGTTAGAGGGAAGAGACAGGCACAGCGAATACACACAAGA